TCTTCAATTAAGACTTGTAATAAGTTGCTAAGCATCTTGTGTTCAGATTGCATGTAGTGACTTTTTTACATAGGAGGTTATGAGATCAAGCCTCATTGAATGCGTGTGTTGACTCTTTGTGCTTCACTACAAGTAGTAGCTTTCATATCTCAAAAATTAACATTTTTTATCTATATGCCTAAACAAACTGGGTTAATATCTCAGAGGTTCAACCTGACCTTTTCCTGATTGAGTTTTTTTAACAAGTTGGACATGCAACAAGTGTTACATGATGGGCCTTGGTCATTTGAGAATGCATCGTTGGTTTGTAGATTATTCAAACTGGAGGAGTTGTCAACACATGCTACGTTGAATTAGCTTCACTATTAGGTTAATGTCTATGACCTATCGTACGATTACTCAGGAGTTTGCGCGTTTTAATAGGTGGGGAATTACTGAGATCCTTTGTTGAGTTTGATAAGACTTTTTTTTTTTTTTTTTTTTTGGGGGGGGGGGGGGGGGGGGATGGCAAAGTTTCCATCAGATTAGGGTGGATGTGGATGTGACGGAGCCTTTGAAGAAGCGTATGAAATTATTTATGTGAAATTGTTCGTGGAAATTAGTTAATTTTAAGTATGAGAGACTACACACCTTTTTGTTTATTTTGTGGTCTTCTTGGTCACACTGACTAGTTTTGTATGGGGGATGAGATGAGCGTGGGTAGCTTTGGAGAACTATCTGTATGGAGGTTGGATGAGAGCGGGTGTGGGTAGGGGTGAGGCAAATTGGGGCCTCGTGGCTTGTTTCGGGTCCACCGACATGAGGATCAGGGACTTCGAGTGAGGTAGGTGAGGGATGGGGTGAACGCAGGGAGGGGACGAGGGGCTGGGGGTGACAGTGGGGCCGAAGCGACGGAGGTAAGACATGCGGGTGGAGGAAAAGAGTGAGGAGGAGGCGGTGATGGGCGAGGATTATCTTGCTTTGCTTATGGACAGTCATGGTCCCCATATATGCCCCGCACAATGAGTATTTTGAGATGGAACTATCATGGGTTGGGTGATCCACACACAACAAATCGAGAGGTGCATGACATGGTGTCTACAAAAAAACTTGATTTAGTGTTTGTTATGGAGACGAATGTGGGGCGGCCTCATGTTGTAAAAATGAAGACAGAAGCAAAGTGTAAAAATGACGCACCTTAAGTGTTGCAAATACGCACTTTAAGTGTTAGAATGATGCACCCTAAGTGTTAAAATGGCGCACCTGCAGTGTTAAAAATGACGTATGTTAAGTGTTACAAAGACGCACTTTAAGTGTTAAAATGACGCCCTGCGCACCTTAAAGGTTAAAATGGCGCACCTTAAGTGTTAAAATGACGCATATTAAGCTTTAAAAAGACGCACCTTAAGTTCTCAAGTGTAGAATTGACGCACCGTGCTTAAGTGTTAAAATGATGCACCTTAAGTGTTAAAATGACGCACCTTAAGTGTTAAAACGACTCACCTTAAGTACATAAAATACGCACCTTAAGTTTCAACAATATGTAAAATTACCAAAATGTCACCGCATATTTTTTAATTCGTGTTATCACTGCCATTGATATAGTCCAAATCAACAATCCATAATGAAGACAAATTTTTAAAAAAAATCGTGATAACATTATGATAATTTTGTGTAAATAAGTTCATATGGTATTTGTCTCCGAGTGCACAATTATGAGTCAATGTTTATTATATATTTTGCCTTTTTTGTTTCAATAATGTATAACTAAATTTATAATGAAATATATGTGATTTACAAACGATTTGTAAGAATAACTGTTTCAATAACACTTAAGTTGAATAAATTTCATTTTTGGTAGCATAATTACTTTGAATGCACATCTTTGTACCTTCCAGTGCATATTTCTGTGTCTTCAAGTGCATTCTTATGTGCCAGTGTTTATTATACTTTCGTCTTCTTTTCAACAACGTATAACTAAATTTATAATGAAATTTGCTAGATTTGCAAATGATTTGTATGTGTAATTGCTTCAATAACACTTAAGTTGGATAATCCACTTCCATAATTGCTTCGATTGCACATTTTTCGTGCATTCGAGTCCATCATTTTGACTTTTGAGTGTACGTTTTTGTGTTTTCAATTGTACATTTTTTTTAGGGAAAAGGGTCAAATAGACCCTCAAACTTTTGCTAAAGAGTTAATTAGACCCTCCAACTTTTTAAAGGTGTAATTACACCCCTAAACAATGCATTTTGAGACAATGAAGCCCAAATACAGGTAAATGACCTGCTATCAAAGGTCACGGAAAATCCAACGTATTCCCGACATATTTCTGACGTATTTCCGGCAAAAAGTGACCGGCGACGGTCACCGGTCAAGAACCTTCTCCGGCAACGGTGGAGAAGGCCACCACTGTGGTGGCCTTCTCAACCGGAGAAGGCAACCCAGATTTGGGTTGCCTTCTCCAGCGAGAAGGCAACCCAAATCTGGGTTGCCTTCTCTGGACGAGAAGGCCACCACAGTGGTGGCCTTCTCGCCGGAGAAGGCAACCCAAATCTGGGTTGCCTTCTCCGGTTGAGAAAGCCACCACAGTGGTGGCCTTCTCGCCGGAGAAGGCAACCCAAATCTGGGTTGCCTTCTCCACCATTGCCGGAGAAGGTTTTTGACCGGCGACCGGTGACCGTCGCCGGTCACTTTTTACCGGAAAATACGCCGGAAGTATGCCGGATCTTCTGTGACCTTTGATAGCAGGTCATTTACCTGTATTTGGGCTTCGTTGCCTTAAAATGCATTGTTCAAGGGTGTAATTGCACCTTTAAAAAATTGGAGGGTCTAATTGACTCTTTAGCAAAAGTTTGAGGGCCTATTTGACCCTTTTTCCCTTTTTTTTTTTATTCAAAATGTAATTTTTTTAAAGAGCAGTAAATGTGGACGAAATTAATGTATGAGATTTATGAGCATTTTTCACCTGGAAACTATTTAGCCAGGTAGCTTGTAGCCCAATAGCTCTCGTAAATGGGAGGTCCTATCTTTTGTGTGCCTCTTTCAACGGATGATGGTCGGAGCTTCAGACCGATATCCCCCTGTAAATGGACCCTTATGAGCATCTAAAATTTCTTTTAGTCCATGAATATGGGGTAAAAAAGCCAAAATAAGGCTCTGTTTGGCAAACATAGCTGAAAAGCTATAAGCTAGGAGCTGAAAGCTGAAAAGGAGCTGAAAGCTGAAAAGCTATAAGCTCGGAGCTGAAAACTGAAGAGCTGTTAAGCTAGCTGTTATGATTGAAAGTGTTTGGTAAAATTAGCTTTTTGATAAGCTGATAAATGTAAAAAGACTAAAAATGACATATTCATAAAATTTAAATTAGTTTGTTTACATATTAAAATTTAACATTTTGTCTTTAAAAAAAATTAACATTTTGAAATAAAACTATTAGCATAATCATGATTGAAGTAGCAATATTGTTGCAAATCTCATAATAATAATAATAATAATAATAATAATAATAATAATAATAATAATAATAATATTATTATTATTATTATTATTATTAATATTAATATTAATATTATTATTATTATTATTATTATTATTATTATTATTATTATTATTATTATTATTATTATTATTATTATTATTATTATTATTATTATAATATTTGCGGTGAAAGTTGTGGATAAAGGATAAGAGAAAAAGGTTTTAATTGAGAAGGGTAAATTATGTTATTTCTTTAAAATAATAAGGATAAAGATGGAAAAAAAGTTAGGAAGCTAGGAGCTTATTTTGAAACGAAGGTAGCATTCCCAAAATAAGCTCTTATTTAAGCTAGGAGCTTATTTTGGGAACATTACCAAACAGAGCTTATAGCTCATTAATAGCTCGAAATAAACTATAAGCTCCTAAATAAGCTCTGCCAAACAGAGCCTTAAGTGATTTTAGCATAGGTTCAAATCTCAGTGGGGGTATTGCCTCTTTGTGATTCAATTGGTTGAGAAAGGAGTTATACCCAAAATGACCGTAAACTATAATGATTTTTTCCAATTTCGTCCTATACGACTTTGGTGACATAATGTAGTACCAGACTTTTGTGTTTTTGCTCAATTTAGTCATCTGTTTATTATTCCATCAATTTGGTGTTAATTAGATAGACAATTCAGTAATTTCAATATTAACATCTCTTTACTCCTAGACATGCGAAGTGCGAAATCTCTATTTATTTTACGAATTATTTCCAAACTCGCGAATATAAAATTTGATTCACAGGTCCGAGAGTAATTCGTAAAAGAAAGAGAGATTTCGCACTTTGCAATGTTGAGAATAAAAAGATGTCAATATTGAGATTATTGAATTGTTCATTTATTTAACACCAATTTGATAGAATAATAAAAAAGATTACTAAATTAAGCAAAAATACAAAAGTCTTAGAATTATATTAGGTCACCAAAGTTATTTAAGAGAAAAACAATCATATTGGAGGAGAGTTTTTTGCACTTTTGGTCCCACGACTATAGTGGCACTATCAGAATTGATCCACGACTTTCAGACCTTGCAATTTTAGTCCACGACTATTGTTTTTTTTGGCAAAAATGGTCCTTCCGACCACTTTTCTGTCAAAATTCTACCGGAGTAAAATTTCTTCATTTTTAAGAGGGCTAAATTTGACATTTCCCTTAACAATTCTTCCTAGATAAAAAATAATTCTTTATTTCAAAATATGGCAGCAAACAATCAGTAATACAAGCCTCTTAAACATGTTAACTTTAGCCTTTTTAAAAATGGATAAATTTTACTCTGGTGAAATTTTGACGAAAAAGTTGTCAAAAAACAATAATCGTGGACTAAAATTGCAAAGTTTGAAAGTCATAGATCAATTCTGCTACTATAGTCGTGGAACTAAAAGTGCAAAAAACTCTATTAGAGGACATTTTGAATAATAATTGGTTGAGAAAGTATCTATGAATATATGTATATCTCCTCGCTCATATATCTCTTTTTTGGATATTTATTTTTTTTTGCACTTTGCACAGTGGGGCGTCAAGAAAGATATAAAACGCGATTTTCAACTCAACCTCCACCTCCTCCACTCTCCTCCATCTCTCTCTGCTCTGCGAACCCGAAGATATCTCGCAGAGATTTTGTACGCAAAAATACTCAGAGCTCCCTCTCACTATATCTAAAACCCTTGTGTTTTTACCGACCAATTTTCATTTTGAATTTTTTTCGTTCGGTTTTGCGCAAGTATTTCTTCCCCTTCCATCTCCATTCTCACTTCGCTGGGAATTCCACTCAGGCAATTGAGCGGCGCCGTCCTCCTCCGCCAGGTGCAAATTTCACTTTCCAATTTTGGGAGCGCATGAAAAATGCGTTTTTGTGTGTTTGCGTTGCCCCGGCCGGTAATTGGATCTTAAATTGAGCCGTGGTATGAGTTATTGGCTTGTGTATCTGTGTTTTTCTGTGGCGGTTTTAGTGCGGGTTCGTGAATGACTTAAAAATTTGTTGGATTTGTGTTTGAATGCTACAGTGGAACGGTTATGGGGTGTGGTCGGTCGAGGAATCGTGTTGCCGAGTTCCGAGTTTCCGGCTATTCCCCCTCGGGTTAATTCGGTCCGTTGCATAGAAAAAGTTGGAGTTCTCAGCTATTTGGTTGTCTGTTCATTGTTTTCTCGGTAAGATTTCTTACTCTGATTTCTGCATTGTGTAGTGACTCTATGCAGGTTGTTGCCCTTTAATTCATTCAGTACTTGAGTTAGGATTTACTGGCATTTGGTGGTGAACATATTATTTTAAGTGAATTTTAGTTGAAATAATGTTAATGTAGTAATTAGGGTTTCTGTGGAAGAATTATGTATATGAACTACTTCTAACTTTCATGCCTTAATATTTTTGGTGGTGGCTGAACTTTCCTACATAAAATTTAGTGGCTGCAAAGTTAGTTTTATTTTGTGTACTGTTCTAGTAAGAGTGAGATATTGGAAACATGTAGGATTGTAGGAAGTTAACAGATTATCATAAGCCTTGATCCCAACATAGCCTAGGAGACTCTACATATTAACATGGAATAGAATAACTTATTAGGTCTTTTTTGACTGTCATTGGATTGAAGCTTTATTGATCAAGCATAGTTCAACGAGGAAGTTGATCTCTTTTGATACCCCTCCTCTGGTCCAACCACCAAACACCCCCTGATTGGAAATGTAGCTTATGCAAGCAAGTCATTCTTCCAAACCAATTCATGATTTAAGTTTTGTGATCTAAACAAGCCAAGTTGAGTGAAATAAATTGGCTGTTCAAGTCTGGTTGCTCAATGATGAGGCTGAATATTAAATTTGTTTGATTTGCTGATTTTTTCTTGGAGGTAAATATCTTTTTTCTCATAAGAAGGTAAGGAATCAATGCTTCTTTATTGACAAATACAAGTTAATCTTAATGTATCCTACTTAAGACATTTCCACTTAATCAAGAAAACAATGCTCTGTAGTCTAGAATCTCCTTGTATAATCCTAGATTTGTGTATTGTAGGTCTATCAACCAAACATGTTCTTAATTGAGTTCCCAACAAATAACAGAATAGCCCAATGACATTGTTTTTTACTCCTATTTTTTCTTTATGATGATTAGAATTATTTTCAGCACTTTTATTCCCCTTAAGCATTGATTATTACTTTACTTTTTTCATCTTAAATGTTTGAATTCTGATGATTTTGTGGTAATATGATTTTATATTGTTGCTTTCTAGGCCTTACTAGATAAGATGGATTTTCGGAAGTGCATTTCCCCTTGTGTTTCTCCCGCTGGGAATATGAAATCGTTGAGTTTCTCCTGTAAGGCAAAAGAAAAAGCTCATTTGTTGGATCCACAAATAAAAACAACTGAGACTGATATGGATATTGACATGGGGGAGGTATACTTTTTAATTATGCATTTCCTATCAATGGGGCCATGCCACAAAACTTATGGACAGTTTTGGAATGAACTTCTGGAAAATCAACTTTTACCCCGAAGATATCACGCATGGTATTCGAGGAGTGGCATAAAGAGTGGGGATGAGAATGATGATGGCATATCATTTCCACTAAGTTATAATAAACTGGCTGAAAGGTAATCTGCTACACTACTTTTCCAGTCTATAAGCTTTGAACTTAGCCTAGATAACTTTCAAATGTTTATCAAAAAATAAAAGGAAAAAGAAAGTTTTTACATAGCAATTCTTGGATGGTTTAATTGGCATTTTTAGTCCTAGCTCTACTTGGTGTAAAGTCTCAAGTCCTCATGATGGACTGAGTAGTAATGTATGGATCTTTTCCTCCAATTTAAATAAATATTGTTGTTTACTCTGGCTTATGGAAATACGCATTGCTTTGAATCCTTCTCTTATATTCCAAATATATTTCTTGTGTAGTACATCTGATGAATGATGGTAGTTTATGCATGGGCAGGTATCCTCATGTTGAGAAGGATCACTTAGTGAAGCTTTTGAAGCAACTGTTGTTGAGTGCAGCAGTTCCTTCACGTGAGGCAGTTGGTGGGAACACTATAAATGCTGCTACTGTTCCAACTCTCTTGGGAACTGATTCCTTTTCACTTCTGAGTAGTATGTGATCTTAGTTTCATGTTTTTTTTGCCTATTATGATCATATTTACATGACCAGTTGTTAGCTTGCAAACTTTTCTGCTTTAACTTGAGATGTTTAATGGGCCTTTTTAATGATACCAGTTCTTTTGGTGTCCACTCTCTCCCCCTCTCAGGTGATCAGAATAAGAGGAATGATGATGTCACACGTCCACCGGGTTACTTACGTTGGCCTCACATGCAAGCGGATCAAGTGCGTGGACTAAGTTTGAGAGAAATTGGCGGTGGCTTTGCAAGACATCACCGCGCACCATCTAATCGCGCTGCATGTTATGCCATTGCAAAACCATCTACAATGGTGCAGAAAATGGAAAACATTAAGAAGGTCAGAGGGCATCGCAATGCTGTTTATTGTGGTAAGACACTTTATACTATTCTTTTACATTTATTAAACCCAGAACCTTTATAAACTTGGAATCTATTTAGTGAAATTTGACTTCATTCATTTATGGTACTAATCTGTAATGTCTCTAATCATGTCATGTGCTTGAGTGCTTCACATTCTTCTTCTGAAATATGATTTTGTCGAAAGGATCAATACTTTAATAGCTTTCCTTCTGGCAGATTAAGTGAACATTGTTTGTCCTGAATGTAAAGAAACAGGGTCTTTAGTTTATGAGGATACTTGCACAATGTTATAGTTTGGTCCTGCAAGTGACATGGTCATACTTTTTGATATTCACTCTCTCTCATTTATACATCCTTTTCTTTTTTAGTACAAAATTGTCTCATTTCAGAAGTAGAATTTTTTTCCTACAAAAGGTACTATGGGCCCCTCTTTTATACAGAGTACTTGTAATACATTGAAAACAACCATGTTTCAAGCCTTTTTCCCTACTATCTAACAAATATAAACAATTATTCTAGTCTTAATCTCTGCACCCAATTGGCCATACCCACAAGGACAGACACGTTGGGATGGAGGAGGGAGTATTCATTGTATTGCAAAATAGACTTTAAATTAGAATTTACCAAGCTCTCTTTGATTAGGCCTTTTTAATTCCTTATTTTACATTAATATTAATAGACTAAACTTAGGTGTATTGCCGAGTTACTCTATGTCTCTATGTTGAATTTTAATCATAGATTTGAATGGTTATAAATTTACTTGCTTCACTTCAGCTATATTTGATCGGTCTGGGAGATATGTCATCACTGGTTCAGATGATCGCCTTGTTAAAATCTGGTCAATGGAAACAGCATATTGTTTGGCCAGCTGCCGAGGGCATGAAGTAAGAGTAGTAACTGAATCTTATTAGCTCTTAATGTTTGCTTTTATTCAAGTTGACATGCTATGCTTTTATTTTAAGGGTGATATTACAGACCTGGCGGTCAACTTCAACAACACTTTGGTGGCTTCTGCTTCAAATGACTATATCATCCGAGTTGTAATATGCTTAATTTCAAGTCAGCTTATATGTTGCATATGTATATATTACGTATAGCTGTCTAAGCATTATTCCTTTCTCTTGGCAGTGGCGCTTACCTGATGGGTTGCCAATTTCTGTCTTACGGGGCCATTCTGCAGCTGTGACTGCTATTGCATTTAGTCCACGGCCTGGTTCTGTTTATCAGCTCTTATCGTAAGCTAATTTTCTTTTCAAAAAACAACTTCACTATTCTTTGAACTGCTAATTGATTTTTATATTAAACTTCATGTTCAAATTATTGAAAAAGGTACTTGTATAGCCTTTATCTACCATATTTTTCATCTTTCAATTCTTTCCAATATTAGCTAGCATTGGCCTTAAGACACTGTCATACTGACTTTAGTTCTGACTTACTGATTATATGAATGATTTCAAGACTTAATCTTCTTGAACTGCAAGTCTCAAGTTGGCACTAGTTCTTTCATACTGCTGTTTCCTTTTGCTTCACTCATCTATTTTTTTTTTTTAAGTTGTAGTGAATGGGCATTTACAGTGTAGTCTTTAATGTGTTACATGTCTGATTCAGCTCTTGCTCTGCACATCTTTTATGTGCTAATGCTACTGTTGGCACTACAGATCATCTGATGATGGAACATGCCGAATTTGGGATGCTAGGCATTCCCAGTTTAGTCCACGAGTGTATGTACCAAAACCCCCAGAATCAGTTGCTGGTATGGTGTTGCTTTTTAGGTAGTTATTTACAACTACTGATTTCAGTAGAGGTATTTTACTTAAGAATCTGCTTATTTGGTTGTAGGGCCAAACACTCTTGTACAAAGTCACTCGATCTTCTGCTGTTCATTCAATGCTAGTGGAACCTTTTTTGTTACTGGCAGTTCAGACTTTATTGCACGGGTAAATCAACCTTTGTGAATTGAATTGTATATTTACTCACTTTCTCACCATTGCATTCTGTGAACGTGGCCATATTCTGTCCTAACTGGATGTAGTGACTTGCAGGTCTGGAATGCTTCTAAATCCAATACAGATGACTTAGAAAAGCCTAACTATGAGATAGATGTTTTAGCAGGACATGAGAACGATGTAAATTATGTGCAGTTCAGGTTTGCTAGCTTGGATATTTTCTGACATTCCCATTCATACTATTCATGTTAATATTTGATTCTGCGGTAATGATGTAGTGGCTCTGCTGTGACATCAAGATATTCTCTCTCTGATTCTTCAAAGGAAGAAAATATTCCAAAATTCAAAAACTCATGGTGCGTGTGCTTTTGGCCTAGATTTTTCTTTGGTACTATTAACAGAGTGATACATGGGATCTGTAACTTTTAATTTTAATTTTTTAGGTTTACTCATGACAACATTGTCACATGCTCTCGTGATGGCAGTGCAATTATATGGATACCCAGACCACGTCGATCACATGTGAGCTTTCCTTTGCATGGGAATCTTTTCAATAGTTTTCTCAAAAGGCATTGAGAATTTTGTTTGTAATTGGATCTAGGGTTATCTAGTTTGTGGTGTGTTTTAATGTATATATTCCATGTTTTAGGGAAAGAGTGGACGCTGGCAGAAAGCATATCATCTGAAAGTCCCCCCACCACCAATGCCGCCTCAACCTCCTCGAGGAGGTCCACGCCAAAGAATTCTTCCAACTCCTCGTGGGGTTAATATGATAGTGTGGAGCTTGGATAACCGCTTTGTTCTTGCTGCTATAATGGGTATATCACGTGCATATTCCTAATTGTGAAATATATTTTTGGTTTTGCAAACCTTTGCTTGCATGCATTCTGTGGCACTTTTAGTTTTCTGATTATTTAGGAGAAATATTATAACTATACTACTATGAAATATCCTAAGTGGGACTAACTGATATTCTAACATAATTTATCGACAATATTGTTTCAGCAGTCCTGCTTGATTGCTTTCTATAAGATTCGTATGCGCCACTGAGCTCATTTTCCAACATGTTTCTTAACCAATATGATCAGTAGTTTGTCATTATCCAAAAAGCTTGTTTTTGGCTGTTGGTTCCACATGATATTCTTACATGCCCTTCCCTTTCATCTGATTTGTAAATAGATAAGCTTTATGCTGTTTTCATATGCTTGTCATGTTTTAGCTACTCTCATAGCTTCACTTACAATGACTTTCTTTTACTTTGTAGATTGCAGAATATGTGTCTGGAATGCGGTTGATGGAAGTTTAGTGCACTCTTTGACCGGTCATACTGCATCTGTGAGTTTTGTACAGTTTGCACACAATTTGTTGTGGGATGTTTGCACAACCTAAAATCATAATATTTTCAGATTACATTCATTGCCAACTAATACTTTTCTTGCATGCCACTGTCTGATCATGTCACTTTTTGATTGTTGCAGACCTATGTCCTGGATGTTCATCCTTTTAATCCTCGAATAGCAATGAGTGCTGGATATGATGGGAAAACAATTGTATGGGATGTGAGTTTACTCTCTTGATTTCTAGTTCTATTTATCATTTTTATGGGTAAATTGTTTCAGGGCTTGAATCCCTGACATAACTAGGATGTGTGATCATATTGTTACAGAACCAGCCAACCAGGGGCTGACATTTATTAATATTCTCACATTTATCAATTGAAATTCTATTTCCATACATCTTGATTAACATTTTTTGCCTCTTCCCTTTTCAACCAAATCCTCAAAAAATTGCAGATCTGGGAAGGTGCACCTATTCGAACCTATGAAATTGGGAGATTCAAGCTGGTTGATGGAAAGTTTTCCCCGTAAGTTGATACTTTAACATATTAGCATTCTTGGAAATTGGATGAGAGGGGTGGGGACATTATTCATCTCATTTCATTTTCAATTTCAGAGACAGTTAGAAAGTGGAACATAAGTAATCAGTTACATGTACACCATTGGTTTTGATGTCAAAATCTTGTCTTTTCTTCCAGAGATGGAACATCGATTATACTTTCTGATGATGTTGGTCAATTATATATTTTAAACACGGGAGAAGGAGAATCCCAGAAAGATGCTAAATATGACCAGGTTTATTTGAGTTCCATAAATTCTTTAACTGTAGACTCAGTTATTGGTTTGATTAATGAATGCCTAAAACAATGTCTTCACAGTTCTTCCTTGGAGACTATCGCCCTCTTGTTCAAGATACAAATGGTAATGTCCTTGATCAGGTAGGTTTCTGTTTCCATTATTCTCTGCTCATCCCTTTGCATAATGAGCTGTAAATGTATCTCAATTACACAAAGTCAATATACTCACTTAAAGTTTCTATCATATTGGATTATTGTAATAAATTATTCTTTTTTCTTTGTTGGATAGGAAGACTGGGCGATAAACTAATTTTTATACCTCAAAAAGTGTCAACAAATGAAAATATAATAGCAAATAACTAACCAGAATGAGTAAATTCACTAAATTGTATATTTAGAATTTGCTCTCAAATTCTGTAAGTTGTCTAAAAAATTATAGACAAATAACCAAGTAATATTTGTGACCTAAAATAATTAAAAATTGTTACAATACTCAGCCTATATACTATTTCATATTATGGAGTTGTAAATTTGTAAATCAAAAGCCATTATGTAACAAAGTGAAATGAGAAAATGCTTTTGCAATTAACATTTGAATAAAAAGATAGAAAAAGAGTCCAGGCTCTGGTAGTCTGGTTTTGTATTTGTTGTATGATATGTGTGTGTTTTCTTGGTAAAAAAAAATGAATTTGCAATTTTTTACTGGTTTAGGAAACTCAACTTGCTCCATACCGGAGGAACATGCAAGATCTCCTCTGTGATTCAGGTTCTTTTCATTCTGCTATTTTTTGAATGTTAATATTGTCTGTTTTCTTCTCTCTTCGAAATAGTATACTCACTAGTCAAATAATGACAGTCATGATTCCATATCCTGAGCCTTATCAGAGCATGTACCAAAAGAGGCGGTTAGGAGCTTTGGGTATAGAGTGGCGCCCATCATCTATCAGATTTGCAGTTGGTCCTGATGTCACCCTGGACCAAGATTACCCAATGCTTCCCATTGCAGACTTAGAGATGTTGATTGAACCCCTCCCTGGGATTATTGATGCAATGGACTGGGAACCTGCAATTGAGAATCTAAGTGAGGATACAGATTCGGAGTATCATGTTACTGAAGATACTTCTGGAGGGGAGCAAGGAAGTCTTAGTTCCAATGCTCCAGGTGATCCAGCAAGCAGTGAGGGAGACAGTGATGAAGACACTCAGCGAGATAGCCGTCGTAGATCAAAACGGAAAAAACAGAAAGGGGAAGTAAGTTCATTTCTTTTTATTTTATTGTGGTATACTTTTTACCCAGGTGTGGAAATTAATTCAGTTTCCTCAATTCAGGTTGAGATCATGTCATCTTTTGGAAGGCGTGTGAAGAGGAAGAACATGGATGAGTATGAGGGCAGTTCACTTAGAAACAACCATGGTAGGAAATCAAGAAATGGTCGGAAAACTTCAAAGAAGAAGTCTTCAAAATCTTCTAGACCAAGGAGAGCTGCTGCACGCAATGCTCTTCACTTGTTTTCCCGAATTACAGGAGCATCTGCAGATGGAGAAGATGAAGATTGCTCTGAAGGTGATTCATCAGAAAGTAAATCTACGGTTCAGGACTCATACACTGAAAGTGAGGAATCAGATGTATCCTTGCATGATGAACATCATGGGCACTCAAAGGGGAAAGAAGTATGTCTGGATCAGTCTGAGGATATGGGTATGCTTCTCCAAGATCCTAAATCTCATTTGAATTATGGAAACAGGAAAAGATTGGTTCTCAAGTTGCCAAATCGTGATTCAAATAGAGCTGCACCACCCCAAAGTGCTAAATTGGAGTATGAAAGCGAGTCTGCTCAAGCTGGTCCATCATCAACAGCTTTTCACGAGGCTGATGGTGCGCCTGAATACAAGTCTCAGGGTAACTTGCCTGGGCTTACAGATAATGATGGAACAGAAAGAAATGAGACGAGACAACTACGGTCACAACATTTCTATCTCCTTGATGGATGCAAAGGTGGGAACATGAGATGGGGAGGAGTTAGATCTCGTACATCTAAACATTCGAGGATAGGAGATCTGCCACAATCAGGCTCACATGCTGGAGTGAACTTAAACGTCAGTGGACATGTTCAGACAGAAAATGTCATTGATGAGCATTCCACAATGGAAAACGAGTGTGAAAGAATTTATCCTAGTTCTGGATTCCAAAATCATGAGGATAATGGAATGATTCATTCCAGTGAGCCTTCTCCTCACACTGGTATGCTTGGAAATTCAGAGGGTGCAGAAACTGCTGAAAAGTATGTAGATGAGTGCAAGAATTCCGAAGAATTGCCAACATGCTCTCATAAAATTGCTGATAATCCAGATGTGCCTTCTGTTCCTTGTGCTAATGGGACCGGTGATCACCCTCCCCTCAAAGATAGAGTTACAGGTATCCCGACAAGGCTGCGGATAAGATCAAAGCTTCTCTCTGCTGACCTTGATAGTTGTAGTAAGACAGATGAGAAATCTGCATTGGAGATTTCTAGGCTCAATCCCTGCTGTGCTGCAGATGATGCATCTCAAGAGACTCCGAAGATTTTAAGTTCCAACCTACCATGTAATGACAACTTTGAGAGACCAAGTGTGGATAATGGGCTCGATGAAAAGCAGGTGGAGCAAGACAGTGCTGGTGGAGCTACTGGATCTTCTGTTCAGGACTCAAAGCAGTTGCAGTCAGAGGATAGGATGTTCAGTGCTGTCTATAGAAGATCAAGATTTGGCAGGGGTAGAAGTAACGTAGAATGTCTTGGTGGTGGAAGCATGGAAACCAGTACATCAAACAGTCAGAGCCTTACTCCTGCTGAAGGAAATGGTAACATAGGTGAAGCGGTCCGTAGAACAAGATCTATCAGGCTGAGGTCAACAAGTGGTGATATAAATCTCTCAGGCAGCAATCTCAGATTTAGGAAGCCCCGTGATCACACAGTACCCCCATCAACTAGTTTGGAAAGGGCTTCAGGTAATAGAGGAGGTGATGAAAGCCCCAATGATGAATCACGATCTAATTCGAAAGTTGCTGTTGGAGTGAGATCTACTAGAATAAGGAGAAGCAGTTTTTACATCCGTGAGCCTAGTCCTCCAGATAGAAGGAAGTCAAATCAATCAGCAAAAAGTTCATGGTTGATGTTAGTAGCAAGGGAAGAGCACCGGTATATCCCTCAGCAAAGGGATGAAGTTGTGTATTTGAGACAGGTAGCTACTTCCTTTTCATTTTTGCTGTGTTTTTGTGAACTCTTTACTGTTCTGTTCCTACTTAACTGTCCTTACGGCATGACCATTTTTTTCTTCAGGGCCATGAGGAGTACATAAGTGAATGTGACTTAAGGGATAGACGCCCTTGGGAAACAGTCAGGGGGAATATAAGTGCAGTTGAATTTTGCAGGGTTGAAGCACTTGAGTATACTTCCCGTCCAGGTTCAGGAGAGAGTTGCTCTAAAATGACACTTAAATTTATAGATCCTTCATCTGCAGTGTCAGGTAAAACATTTCAGTTGACACTGCCCGAAGTAACCGGTTTTCCTGATTTCCTTGTTGAGAGAACTAAATATGATGTGGCTATGGAGAGGAACTGGACTACCAGGGATAAATGCCGTGTCTGGTGGAAAAACGAGGGTGAAGAAGATGGGGATTGGTGGGAAGGTCGAATTATTGGTGTGCAAGCTAAATCTCCGGAATATCCAGATAGTCCTTGGGAAAGGTACATTGTGAGATACAAGAAGGGTGATCCATCAGAACAACATCGACATAGTCCTTGGGAACTATTTGACTCTAATACTCAATGGAATCACCCTCAGATTGATGAGAATATCAGAGCCAGGCTGCTGAATGCCATGGACAAGCTGGAGCAATCTGGAAACAAAGCTCAGGTATACACTATTTGCTATGTTCATTGCAGGCAGCAGCATATGTTTCATTGAAAATGTATCCTCACAATCTTTTAAATTTTATATGTCAGGATAATTATGGGGTAGAAAAAATGAGACAAGTTTCACAGAGGTCACAATTCATAAACAGGTGTGTTCTTCTAATCACGTTACTTCATTCAACTGTTTCTTCTTATATTCATAAGACAAGACATCATTGTGTTTATAAGCAATGCATGTATTTATAGATTATGTTCATATTTAGTCAAACACGGTAGTCCTGATTCACTTGGGAAATTTCCTTTTCAATTTATAGGTTCCCTGTGCCCTTGTCTCTTGAAATCATCCATGCTAGACTGAAGAACAACTACTATAGACGGTTGGATGCAGTGAAGCACGACATAGACGTGATGCTGTTGAATGCTGAATCTTACTTTGGAAGAAGCGCTGAACTTTCAAAAAAAATCAAACAATTGTCAAGCTTCCTTACTAAAACCCTTTCATCTTTGTAGCCGCCGCCTACCTTGATACAATTTTGTAGAAAGCTTATACTGCATTGATTTAAGCAAAGCAAAGATGTCCATAAAACTTTACAGGAAAAGGTAGGGAAAGAAAATAAGATCTTTCTTTTACTAGGTTTTTAGCGCAGCCAGCTTTAAGCCTTAACCAACCTTTCAGAGAAGTAGTAGATTTTGATCAGAGGGGATACTGGGGATACATATGACAAAGAAAGGCTTAGCGGAAAGTAGTATCATGGTGCTGGAAAAATTGTCCAGCAATTCATTTGTATAGTGTATGAGATTGAAATTTGTCATTAATTAATTCAAAGTTTATTCCTTAGCTTCTATTCTGTTTGCTTCATCATTTGTGCTTCAATACAACGAGGCACAATTATTGTAGAAAATTTCAATTTTTCTACTAAACTAAAGATTAATGTTAGCATATATGTAATAATACTCCTTGGTTTATTTAATGCTCTGACAAAATAAAGTTGAATAATACTAATTGCTATACAACCGATTTGAACTAAAAGGATCAAAATCTGAACACAGATTTGATCTCTAAATAGAAGCAAAATAAAGAAAATGAGGAATAAGAGCAAAAAAGTGCATGGGGGAGAGCTTAAAAATTAAAATACGCCGGTGAGGAGATTTGCTACTGTTGAGATTGCAGCTCCTGTAATGGCACATTGCACCACCTGCTCGTGAGAATGATCTTCTGTGGTCAGAGCCAATGCCGCTCCTGTAACTGCCCCAGCCAGCGCACTGTTTTTCTGCCAACAACCAATTACATACCTTGAGTACGTACGTACGTAGAAGACATGACAAGATAGATGAACCAATTAATAGCAAAGAAGTCTCTCAAAAGATAAAACAAATTAAACAAACTCCATAACATCTTGATATTTGTTATAGATGATAAAGACGATAGCTCTCCTTTTATCTTTTGAGACATTTCTTCTCTATTATTTGGTTCTTGGTGCATATGAGGCTCTAGAGTTCATAGCATGTGCTTTTTAATTTTATGAATATGTTTAGAGAGTTCCCCCTTGGTGATATGACTATATGTTAGCCCCTAAGTGTGTGTGTGAGAGAGATCTCAAGTATTGAAGTAATGGCATAATAATTCTCATATATTCAAACACAAAGTAAGGAAAAGCCTACCCAATCATGTACCCCTCGAGCCTCCTTCAGCCCATAGGTAAGACCAGAATACATTCCTGCAGCAAATCCTGCCCATACATGCAAAACCATTTTTTTCCTCAAGCACAATAGCCATTTTTTCTACGGTTTTAGGAACAATAATAACTAGCTAATTTAACATGTCTTCCACCTATACCTCCTTTCATTATTACATGAATAAAAGCCATGCCTGAAAATGTTTTAAGATTTTGTTTCAAGCAAAATATCTATTATATGAGGAAAAAGTATCACCAAAACATATCACCAAAATCAATGCCGTATTTGAAACCAACCAGACAAACATATGCACACACAAAAAGAACTTGAATTACCCCATTGCATAGTTTCCTTTCCAGTGTTCGTTATCTGAAAATACCCCCAAAAAAAAGACATTAGAATTCACCTCTACCTACCTCATTCCAAGGCATCAAACACAAATTACCTTAAGCATCAATTTGTATAAAAATTAACCATGACAATATCTTATGTTTTGAGAATGGAGATAACAAACTCATTTTTTCCAAGGTTGCCTCTCTGCATGAAGATAAATAGACAATGACAATACCAGCAAGTAAATGAAGAGAACAAAGGGAGAGTTTAACAGCTCACCAATGCCTCAACTGACTTTTTGTTATTCTCCCCTGCATCATAATAAGAACACTATTATAAGAAGACTTTCTGACAGGGTTTAAATGATATTCCTGACAACTTTTTCCTTGGTTTAGATGAACAGAGGAAAGGTCTTTCAATTGGCATATGAAATCGACTATGGTCTGTCATATTGAATATGCTTTTAAAGAAAAAAAAATCTATATAATACTATGCAATAAACACATGTTTATTCAATACACACTCAACTGCAATATGAAGGAGACAGTAAAAAGGATGTGGATTGATATGTTTCATTTGAACAACTAAAATGCAGGGGAACAACTCCACCAAGTCATCAACTGCACTTACTCAGCTGTAAAACCATGTTATCCTCAAATAAAAGTTAATTCTAGATTTAGCCCTCAACTATAATAGGATTTTCAAATTTAGTGCCCTAGACTAAACTTTATCCTTAATTTTGATTTTGATCCAGTAGCCATACTCAAACATGACACACAACACCTAAATTTTCACTGTCTAAATGTGCTGACAAAAGTTTTGATGGAGTCAAAAATGAAATTGGTAATGAAAGAAATTTACTAGAAGATAGAGTAATGTAACTTTTAACCCTCAAAAATTACAGAAGGATATGTAATTGATAGCAATAGGACTAAATCTGGAAATATCATCAAAACCAAATATAAAATATGGTAGAATTATTAGTTTATTAAATTTAAACCAGGAAAATTTTCAAATTCATGAAGTAGCTATAGTGTTGCTCCGCAAATTCACAGAAAGAACAACTTACCTTTAAGATCTGGGAAGCGCTGCAGACGCTTCTTGGGAGCACCAGTGACGGCGCTAGTATTCTTACATCCACCTGATTCATACAAATTTAGTTTAACACTCTCAAACTATAAAAATTCCAAAACAATCCAGCATAACAATAGCATTCACTTTCCAAAGAAAAAAAAAAAAAAAAAAGGAAATCAATACGAAGAATTATAATGCATTCGTGAATTCTCGCCTTGAACAGCTGCAGAAAAGCCTTCACGCGCCACCGCTTGAATCGCACCAACCTGTGACGCAACGACGAATTGAATAAGCAGACCAATACATATGCTAGTACAACTTTAAAGTGCATTTATACTATTAAACTGCATAATACCCCAGCAGATTTGAGGAAGGCTTCAGCAACACGATTGAGGAGAGGATGGCCGAGCTCAAGGAATCCACACTGTTCAAAGTGACGAATCTCATCCAGCAACGATCGAGTCTCCAAATTAGAACTCATTTTTGTTGTTGTAATGTCCGGTCTTCAATTCTCTACGATGCAAACCTGCTAAGCAACGCACTCTGCTTTCTCTCCGGATAACGCCAGAGAAGCGAAGATGAAAGGTACGGAATACATGTAGATTGGGGAGTAACTGTAGCGCGATCTTCGCGGCGATTGTGGAGGATCGAGAAGGCGAATGTGGCAAAGCTGCATGCAATGCAATTCCAACAACGTACCAAAAATAAAAAATGCAGCTAAATTAATGGCCGCCTATTATTTGGTCTAACACAATTTTTTTTGTTTTGTTTTGTTTTTTTTGTTTTTTTTTTTTTTTTTTTGGATAAGAAGGAAAATTCTCGCTCATTATTTGAAGGTGTGTACGAAAAATATTTTATTTTGTAACCTTAACTAATTGGTTTAACATGTTAAAAGTTAAATTTGTAAAATTTTTATTACCAAATACTAACCTCGGTAGCAACAGTGTGATGATTATGCTCAAAATTGACAGATTCTTTGTGTGTATTGGTATTTGACCTTGTCTTTTAAATCCTTGAATCACTATGATTTATCTCCTCCAAAATGCTCTATAAAGCCGAAGTGGGCCTTGGAATTGAGAATTCAATATTTTAAGAGAAGAAAGAAATTCAAAGGATGCCAAAACACAAACAACATAAATTATGCCTACAAATAATGACTCGTGACTTGAACTGTGGAAACAAATTAAATATATGATTTTAGGGAATCAAGAAAATCAAAATTGAATGACACCTTGATTTCTGCTGCATGAAATATGAAAGGATTATGATTGCATGAATGACATCACTCCAATAATATAATCAGTATCAATATATAACTAATATTTTTCTCCCAACTTATTTATGTCAACTATCCAAGTCCATACATGTTCAAAGTCATGCAAACTCAATACATAGTTGTAATACAATATATTGATATTAATTATTGATCATATAAAATATAAAATTGTCTAAGAACAAGCTTTAATTTTTCAATGTTAAATTCAACTCTTAGTCATTGACTATTGTAGTATTATTCTTTTAATATTTACTTCATCATTAAATACGATTGACTAACATATAATTTCAATTATTTAATAAATAGAGTTTATCGAGAAAATTTACGTGTTAAAACAAAAGATTGAAAAAATAAAAATAAAATTATATATTAGACATATCTTTGTTAAATACAGAATGAATGAAATTTAAATGGAAGAAAAACAACAAACAAATAAAAGTCAAAGATATAATGAGTGTAATTATTTTTTTAAAAAATACTAGATAAGGATTTTTTCAATACTGACGTTGCATTTCCTTCTTATAAAAGTATCACGAAATTCTGCCGGTGTCGCCAACAATATATTTACATGTCTAATAAATTTTACTTGTCTTTATCAATTGAACTACTCCCATTTTATCTATCCTCTCCTACTAGCTATTCATGGTCAAACCAATTCTTTAACTTTATTTATTTTCTTTAGTATTTTTTTACTTAATTTTGAATTTAAATTTCTTGTATTTAATCAAACTTTTAATATAATTTCTAAATATATAAAATTTAAATACTAACACCAAACTTAATATTATAAAAAAATTAAATTAAAAATAACCTTTGTCAAGTCTTATTAAACAAATTAGACATAAAATAAGACAGAGAGTACAATTTTACACATATCATTGTTGCATATCAGATGTAATATGTGCCACAATTATTATATTTATACGGAGTATATATTTAATAATAATAATGTGGGAGGGGGGGGGGGGGGGGGGGGGGGCATTGGTAACTGTTAAATCACATTCATAGCCAGCCAATAATAAAATATTGGGTGTGTTTTCTAGAAAGCATAATGTACAATTCTTTTCTATTTAAAGTTACATTACATAACATTGAAGGACGACAGCACTGACATCCCCTAGTGTTACACCCACAATTTTCAAAATTTCATTTCAATATAATCAAAAGCTTGCAGGGTGAAGATATTGCCACCAATAAGAACTAAGACGAGAGAGAGTCAGTGACTTAAGAGATTCACATAGAAGAAGAAGAAGAAGAAACTGAACTGAGGGAAGCAAAATGGAGAGCGCAAATATGAGATTCGATAAAATCGCAAAAACTATGGCTATCGGAACGTTTTTTCGCAAGGGTAAATAATTTTACTCAAGCTTAAAGCGTCATGGAGATCTCTCCCCATGCTTGCAACGGCACTGTACATTATCATATCATCCTCTTTCAGTACACGACGGCATGCATCACAGCAGTTTTTCCCTTTTTCGCTTTTGCAACCAACTGCTGGTTTGCGGGCAACCATGTGCTCAAAGTAACAAATTGTCCACCGGAGGCAGGCGTGTGTGGTTCTTGGGCACGGGTCATGATCCGTTTACAGCCATTTCGGGAGATGAATTTTGTTGTATCAATGGGCCGTCATCTCCCCACTGCCTATTATCCGGAGAGTTGGATAAGCCTTCCGCAAAGTTTTTAGGAGAAATCTCTTCCTTGTCAACATGGTTTTCAGCTTCCACGCTTCCGTTGCTGTCAGAAAAGCTACCTTTCTCGTGACCAGCTTCAGTTGAATCCTTCGGGTCTCCTGAGCAAGAATCGTCGTCATGAGCAATATTTGCTGATATGCTACTCGGCAAAACTGCTTGGCTCAAGGTCGAGCACAAGGCAGCAAAGACACTGTTACGTGACTTCGAGGAGGTCTTAGCAGCCCGCTGCAACCTTTTTGGATTAGGCTCTTCCTTTTGGGTTAGTTTGCGTTTCAAGGGGAATGACTCTACTCCATCTTCATCAGAAGTATCCAACTGTTTCTTAGGTGGTGGTTTATAATCCTCGTCATCCTCATCATCATCATAATCAACAAGACCCCCGGACCTTCAATAACAGATGGAATCAAAAGACCATGTATATACATGACATTTGAATGAAAGCAACATACCTAACTGCTGGATAGCTCGGAGCAGAACCATTAGCCACGACTCGCCGAGAATCCCGAGATTGAACTCTATTAGCATTTGACACAGATACTGATGTGGAATCTTCTTCATCGCTGAGAACAATTCCAAATTCAGTGGACTTTACACTAAAAAGTAGTAATACACTAAATACAAAGAGAAGCCTACCTATCCTCGTTGAAATAGTCTTCCTCTTCCTTTTCCAAAGCACGCTCATCAACCCTTTTCCTGGTGTCAACCGGATTAGCAACAGTTCTTGCTCCTGAGGTATCATGAACCTGAAGGAACCAATTGATAAATAAGTACACGTGATAGGAAAACAATCTGAGGATTACTTAATTGACAAGCCAATACCTGGTCATATTTAATTTTTAACGATTGAATGGATGAAAAGTTCTCAAATCTGACTAGCTGATCCCAAAATGTATCTACCAAATATTTAAGTAATACTTTCAAGGTTTCTGCCTGCACAAAGAGCATTGTCATGCGAGAATGGAAAGCAAAAGAAGAAAACACTGACAACTACATCATTACACTATTCAATCTGGCATAGTTGAAAAGATGGGATTAGTACCTTACGGATATACTCGAAAAGTTCCAGAACAGCAGAATTCAAAAGATTATACCGATTGCCATTGGCAACAAAAGCATCAACAATCGGCTTCAAAAGATTGTTCTTCACTATATGATTCATTAAATGCTCATCCTGCATCATTAATATTTTGAATTAGCTAACTATAACAGATTAACATGATTTTTGAACATTGAGATAATTATCATATAACAACCCAAGTACTGTCAATGGTGCACACAAATGTAAGTATAACGTCAATTTTTGTTAGTCACTCCTTGCCCAAGAGAAACATGTAATTGTGAACAAGGATCACGCCTCTAAAATTAATTAATAAATGCTTCATAATAGTAGTAATAACAACAATAAAGACTTCCCACTGAACCTATGAGAGAACACAAATTATAGCTTTTCTTCTAGTTTATGGTGGCATTTTTCATGTAGTGAGATTGGCGTCGTCGACTTACATTACGAGAAATGAGAGTCCTCATAAATCTAACAGCAGAAACTATGAGATATTTTTCTCTTCTTTGCGTCAGAAACAAAACTTTGTCTATCACATTGTTAAGAAGAAAGTCGCACCTGCCACACAAAACAGAAACCCAAAGATGAATAAACAAGACGTAAACAAGCACTTCCATGTGGAGAATCATATTGAGACAAGAACATTATACTTTATTCTATAAGGATGGTGCATGACACAGAAGCAGAGAAGATCACAAATGTTGAGTAGTATCTCGGGCTTTACACTGCTCTGCTTCTCAGTTCCTTTGCTTTGAGATGTGGTGTTTGGAGGACAAGAAGATGTTATGGCATCAATTAGTTGACCCAGGTGCTTCTCATAGAAAATTTCAACAATATTATCTCTCTGCAAGAAATTATATGTGCACATTAATTCAGTTATACATAAAAGGCAATACCAAAAATCCAAAATAACACCACACGATGTACAATTTCCCACTAGATAAGTAATATGATGGACATCCACAAGATGACGAAAAGAAAGAAGCATAAAGTTATATCAGTCCTTTTCCACACTATAGCCACTCAATTTAGGAATAATTGAAGTAAAATTCAAGAGGAAATTGTTGTGGGTTGGATAAGAACTAAGGAAAGCTAATCGATACCAATAAATGCCAGAGGAGAAAAAATTAAATTCCCAGATAGGAAAAACAACTATAAATCAAAGAAGTAAAGAAATTCAAATTGAAAACATTTGAAGATACAACAGTTGTATCATTGAAGCACCTGCGTCCCCGAATTATATGAATCCAAAAGACTGCGAAGAATTTCAAGGAACTGGCAGTGCATATCATCTCCAAAATCTGTCAACATGCCTTTTACCTGTAAATAAAAGAACAAATTATAGCCCACCACTCCAAACAAAGAAAGAAAACATTAACACAACAAGAATGGTATCACTTGGCCTTTCAAGGCACGCAGACTAAGAATAAGAAGAGAATGAAAAATCAATTTTGCATATAAAAACAAGAAGACCCTGGTCAAGTACACCTCTCCACTAAGGCACAAACTAAAAAGGTATGTATGGACCCCAAAAAAAAAGGCAACAAGCAAGTGCAAACAAGCTCAAAGAGGTAAATATTTGCAAAAAAATCATGAGGTAAAAACTCCATGTAATTTTCTAAGCACAGTTCTTATTTTAGCAGGGAAAGTTTTAAAAAATAAAAATGGAAATAAAAAATACAACAAAACAAAACAAAAAGCTAAAGAAAAATAATGGTGGCGGGTTTGGGATGAGAATTAGTCGAAACATATAGCCTTTGATTTAAATGATTAGGAAACCTAAAACACTTGACAAACTATCAAATCAAATCAGGGTGAGTATTCTAAATCAACACTAAAGGATGTTGCGCTTTATTTTATACAAGAGGATGAGTGGGTGAGATGAACACATTTAAAACTTCAGCTAAAGAATTGCCAAAAGCTTTGCAAGAGAGATCACAAACTCAATCACTCATGCAAGAAAGATGCATTGCATCTTTGGAAGTAATACAGACTAATCCTGTAAGTAAGAAAAGGACTTTTCATTGTGTTCCTTCTAAGATGCTGGATGTAGGCTGTAGGCATGCAATCAGGAGATTAAAGTTCACAAACAATGCTCCAAAAGCAGGAACTAGTTTCACATAAATGTAATGAACTTTAAAAGGTTATTCATATAGAGGCATCTTTACACGTGTCTCTCTGTGTGTGTAAGATGCAGCAGTAGGAGGTAACTCAACATTACATACCACTAAACAGAGTTATAGCTTCATAAAACAGTTATAGCCTAAAATGAATATAAAAGTTACTCACCAGAAGTCCAAACAAAGAAAGGCCTTCCTGACGAGTTACATAAGAACGCAGAAGGTTTGGATCCTGATTCAAGAAAAGAATGAGAATGTCTGTCCTGCATACATTACAAAAAATCACAAGTAGAATCTGAGAACAGGTCAGAAAATCAGGCTGTTTCCTCTATATAACATAACAATAAGCCCCATTACCCTGTTAATACGAGTTTTTTGTCTTGACTCTGCAACACATCACTGACAATGTCAAAGATGCCTTCATCGACAAGATCCCTAGATTTATAACACATCAGCACAATTCAATCATCCATACACAAATAGACCCATCAGACAGTATATACAACACAAATCAAATAATATCTCTATAACAACAGGAATTTGCAAAAGATTCAAATGTAACTATACCAAAATAACAATAAAAATGCTGAAAGTGTAAGCTTAAATAACTGGCATACTTGAAGAGCCGAAGCTGCTGGACCATCTGGAGGCTCTTACTTAAAGTACAGAACTCATGCAAGAAGCGTACCTATAATAACCACAAATAGATAAATGTACAATTAATGAAGATTTCAAGAAGTGAAAGGAGGAAAATAAAAAATAAAAAAATCATGCAAGAAGCATACAATAATAACCACAAATAGATCAATATACAATTAACAAACATTTCAAGTGAAAAAATATATGACTATACAGACACTTATTAAAGGAAATTATTTGCATGTCAAAGAAGAAATTAACTACTCCATATCAGTAGAAGTAAAAGAAAAACAGGTGAAAGAGAGACAAAATGAAGTGTGACGTTAAACAGCCATCATTTACCAAATTTTCCTTTGACTCCTCAGAAACTGCCGGAGATTTCAACCGCACAAATAATTCATGAATGAAGGTGCTATCATCTTTCAAAATGGATACAACCTATAATATAACAGAGTTAGGAACTGTTTCATATCTTAAAATATATGGCTTACTCAAATTAAAGAATACTTACATATGCGTTATTTGTATGTATTATGTTAGTAAGTGTAGCACCAGTTGCATCATCCAATGCTCGAGGCAAAATGACATCCTGAAGGAGGAAAATGAGATCCAAGTTTTAGTTACAAACAAGCAAGACTGAAGACTTATAATTTGGCTTATGGTTAGTTGGTTACCTTCAAATAGCCAACTCTATATGTTTGATGTATCTTTGACAACACTACAGGGTCTTTAATAGGTATAGCCTAAACAAGCAACCACAAGAAAAATTAAGTATAGAAAGAAAACCAAATAGAGCCTAACAACTCCTTTACACCATTTCATAAAGCTGAAGTTTCACCATACAAGGAAAGCGAGAATAGAATTAATAGCAGATCTTTACCTCCTTAAAAACCACATTCTCTTTCAAAAAATTGCGATGATGGACATGAGGTACATCCGGGTCATCTGAAACAAAATTGAAAAGCAGTGTATTGGAGTAGAATACAAGATGGAGAGTTGACAAAATGCCCAAGCAATTAGCAATGACATAATAATGTCACATAATATTCACAATACAGAAAGTCACTCTTCTTCCAAAGCATCTTTAGATCTGATAACTGAAACTTTGACCCTACTGAATTTGCTGCATATAATTAGTTGATGCATAGTTGTGTTCTCCACAGCCCCTTGTATATAAACAAAGATTTGAAAGCACCCAAAACAAAAGTGTGGCCCAAGTACAAAGAGAAATAAACATGATATGAAATCTAAAAAATTTCAATCAATCTTAAAAGAAAAAATAGCATAGATATCTCAAAAGTTCAGATGTAGGATAATAGAAAAACTTGAAACCTTGAGGATGAAGTATTCAATATCATGATAGGATTTCTAGATTTGTAAGGTCCATTTGAAAGATGTGGAGGGAAGGAAGAGGGAAAAAAAAAAATACAAGCAACACATATGGAACCCAACTTCCTATTGGCAGCATTTGTGGATAATCAAACAACATTCACCTTAAATAGAGGGCCAGGTTCCTACATCATAACTTGTGGGTCTCAGGTTGCAATTTCTTTCATAATCAGTAAAAATGCAATTTATAGGGAGGCATATTGCAAATATAACGACTTAATTTTCAACAAAAAATGCAGCCAAACTAGACTTTGCTTATCAAAATCTTTATTATAATTGAATTAGTGTCCTTGTTTAGAATGTGCAGAGATCCTAAACTTAACTTTCATGTCTTAAATATCATGTCCAACACATGATAATTTAAAGATTCTTATTAGAAGTACAGAGATAATTTAAAGTCCATTTCACCAAACATATACTTAGAACAATGAAATAATAAAGAAATCCATATACTTGCAGTTCACAATAACAGCAAAACATAAGCAATGCAGGCACCTTGACTGACTCAAAACGAAACATAGTAACAGCATGCAAACTTCAATGAAATGCCATTGAGGAAATATGTGGGAAGAAATGCTGATGTTTAAAAGGTGGACAAAAGTACAAATTAGAAGAATGTTACTGTATGCACATAGATGCAGTATTTTTACAAGAGGAACCATCTAGACTCAAACTAAAGTGCACACTTGAAAAATGGACTGCATGCATTTAGATGCAGTGTTTTAGCAAGAGGAGCCAATGTAACTCATAAATTAAAGGAGGAATGAAAAATCTTACATTCAAGGCATCCAATGATATCCATGATCAATTCATCGCCAAATATTTTTTCAAAAATCTGAGAACTGTTGAGGAAAACTGCAGGAAAGCATAAACCATTGGACAATTAGTTATGTTGGAACCATCATGTACAAGAAATCAATAATACTCACTTATTCCTTTGACTATTTTGAAGAATATGTGGAGACTATCCATGTCCTCAAGATCTTCACATATTCTAAACAAGCTCATCAATTTTCGGAAAATGTCTTCCTGCATAACCAAAAATTTAGCTTAATAAGTGCATATTGCTGCCAGCAATAACGAATAAGGGATGAAACAACCAAAAGCTGAGATGCCATATAAAGCAAAGAGAGAATGTCCATTTCAATAATCAGAGAACATAAAGAATTTGTGCTCACAATATAAAAAAACTGAAGCTTACATCATGCAACATGAGCTCTATCAAACGTAACTGATCAGCAATGCCACTCTCCACAACAGCCTGAAATCAAACAAAAATCATGATGATTAATTTCTTAAAGAAGAAAAGGATGCACATATTACAATTGGAAACATAACCTATAAGAAAAAGAAAACACATCTTAAACATCCTATCCAAAAAAAACAAAATACAAAAGAAACTATGTAATGAGCAACTAGCTTCAAAATACATGATCTCCAGTCATATGCCCAATGTTTTTAAAGCAAAAAAGTGCACAAAAGCGATGAGTCTTTGGTTTGCTTTAAAGCAAAGGGTCACTTTCCACACGAAACAATGCTAAGCGGCAAAAATCAAATACACTTTAAGAAACATATATTATGAGTAATTAAATATTTAATTTTAATACTAACAAAAGTTAGAAATTTACAATTATTCAATATTATTGTTATTTGTTAATAGTTAATGTTAAATATTAAGTATTCTTTTTTATTTAATATTACGTTATCACAAAAATTAATCAATTGATATATATATATATATATATATATATATATATATATATATATATATGATCGGTTTATAATATATAATAAATAGGAGTGTTAGTCATTTAGGACTCCGTCCAGACAGTTTAAAAAAAAAAAGATATATTCTTATTGTTCGTTATATAATACTTTTATTTTTTTAAAGACTTGGATCTGAAAATTCGGGAAACGTTATCGCTATGCAAGTTCACAGCGTCGGCTTGAAGGAACGGGAGCATGACTGTATGTTTTTCCCATACTCCAACTCGTCTCAACAACCCATAATTATCTCGTCTGAGCCACCTGTATTTATATAAATACGGGTGGCTGAGATGAGTGGCATATGGGACAAAAACATATGGTCATAATCCCTTCCCTTCAAGGCAAGGTTGTGTACTTGCGTAGAGTACTTGTGTAGCGATAAAATTGCCGAAGATTTTCAGATCCAATTCTTAAAAAGAATAAATAAATAAAACTCGAAGAAGAGAGAGATGAAGAAGAAGACCCAGAGAAGTTGAAGCACCGCTGCAGGAGAAACCATAAGTTCGCTTAGAGTGGGCAGTGGCGGGGCAGTTGAGACACCGCAAGCTGTTGGATTCCAGAGAAGGTGAATGCCCAGCTTGTCCCTCTTCTAATTCTAACAAGAATAGGCTTTTATTTAAACCCTAGTTTCTTTTTTGTGTTTGTGTTGACCGTTTTACACTTTTACCTTACATAGCACCAATTCACCAGAGCGGAGCAATACTCTGTCACTCAGTTGCTCACCTTGCCTCATCGCTTAAAGCAACGACTTGACTGCCTTAAATAACTTTGCATATAGTACAGAACATATATGAATCAAAGCAAACAGAGGAAGACTCTTTTCAAAGATAAGTCAGATCTCACATAACAAAAGAAAATATTAAGCATGACCATAGTTATTACGGCGCCCTATTAAGTCGCGGCGCCCCCCAACTGCCTAGGCGACCGCCTAGGTGTAAAGTTAAAAATACAATATATATATATATATATATATATATATATATATATATATCAAAAAACAAGTGTCACTGTGGCAGGTAGTGAGGCACTGCCTCTGCCGGTCTGCCCACTGCCCCACTGCCCTGCCATTAGCCATTATAAACCAAAATAAATAAGTGTCTTTGGTTTATAAACCAAAACCAAAGACAATAAGAACTCTCAGCCGGCACTCGGCAGAAACAAGAAAGAAGACCCCCAGTGGTGGACGGCGACGGCGACGGCAGTGGGAGGGTTTCTTCTTCTCTTGAGACCGAGGGAAGTCGACGCAAATGTTTCTTCTCTTAGTTCTCTCTCTTCTCTATTCTTATTAGGGTTTTAGGTCATATCATTTATATTTATTTTTTTTAATTTAAAAAAATCTGGATCGGGTTTACGGGTTCGACGCCGGAGCTCGCCTCGCAAGTTTCAGGCGAGGCAAAGCCTCCAGGCGTACGCCGTGATAACTATGAGCATGACAACAAAAATTGTACCACACAACAACAATATAAAGAACAGAGGCTCTATTCCAAGGCGTTCCAATTGAAACAGTGACGTAGATCAACTTGGTGTAAATAACAATACCAACAACTATAAATAAACAAGATTAATTTAAAAAACAATAAAGTAGACATTTAACACAAGACGAAAATAAGAGAAAATTGGACTTGCACCTTTAGTATCAAAGGGAGGGTTGATATCTCAACTGGAGGCAACTCCCTCAACTCACTATTGATACTATGATACCTATCACCTGAAAATTTTGCATACTGAAAAGTTAATACAGCTCAAACAAAATTATATTTTTAATTCTATACTAAATCAAGAAGGATAAGTTCCAACTTCTCAGGGAGAATATAGAGGAAATTTAGTGGTGCTCAAAGTCTCAAACATTCCACACTAAAGATTATGAATTCTTTATTTCAGTTCTAGAGGAGAGCATAGGATTTGGTAGAAAGATCACAGTAAATGAAACTGATGGCCATAACAAACATATGCTGTTTCAAAATCCCCCATTATAGACTTTAAGATGAGCAAAGCCATCACTGTAATTACACACACAAGAGACATTTATGCTCCACCCAAGAAAAGACAACAAATACTAGTGTAATTGTGTGGAAAGAGATTTGGCTACAATAATAATAACAATAACAATAATAATAATAATAATAATTATTATTATTATTATTATATATTTGATCAGAGGAAAGGAAATCCTGTCAATTTTTGGAATTTCTGCCACAAGGGAAAGTGTACTTTTTTCCAATTTCATCAACTCAACTGGAAGATTTGAACCCATTTGTTAAAATTTTTGTTCTGTTTATGTTTTTCATTTTGAAAACTAAAACATGTTTTTGTTTGCTCAGAAGTATGTTTGATTTCATGTTTTGTCTGTAAAGTAGTTAATGAGAGCTGGCAAAGATGAAACAGAATGAATGGGTAAATCAGATAGGCGGATATCCAACAAGAGGAGAGAGTGAAGTTTGGACAGTCTGACAGATTGGGTGGAATAAGGGTAAGATATGGGGTTTGTAAAAAGATGTCACAATTTGGTGGGGTGCAAGGTATTTGCGGTTTGGGTGAAGTGGAGAAGGTGGGCAGGATGGAATGAACGAAGTGGGTGAGTGGGCAGTGGTCGATTGATAGCAGATAATTTGAAAACAAAAACAGAAAATCTTTTTCTTTTCTAATTAAGAACTTCACTTCTAAAACTGGTTTTAGAGAACAAAAACAAGTGTGTAGCTCCATATCAAACATTGTTTTCTATTTTCATTTGACAAATTTTGTAAACAAAAAAAATGAGAAGACATAAACAGAACATTACCAAATGGCCACCAAATATAGACACTACATTCATGCACTAATCATTTATTCAAAGAATAGATAAAAGCAAGAAAATAACATGTGGTTGCGCTATCCAAATGTGAATATAGTCGAGCTAAGAAAGTCAAGCATAGACAGCTTCTAAATTTTCTCCAACATTACGTAAAGACATGTTTATCTACTTCATCCCCTAAACGAAACTGTTCCTTTCAAAAGGAATATTCTTTGATGGGTAATTAATAATTATAAGAAAAAAAGAACAATATTTCAATGGAAAAATATATTATGAATCATAAAAATAAAAATTAAAAAAGAAGAAGAATTTAATTAAAAAATGCATACTCAATTAGGAAACACATGGATTATAGTCAACTATATGGACAGTTTAATCATTCATGTTTATACTCAATTAAAAAACAAAATTTGTGATGGCATAGAATATTTTGTTATGGTATCACTCTTTCCTTATGAAAGATTGATACAACTAAGAGAGACAATGTTTAAAGAATAATATATATATATATAGGGAGAGAAGAGCACTTGAAAGTTGAAGCACATTTAACCTATAGCACACTAGATCAGACCAATCAAGTTCAAAATCTTGTAAAACTCAAGAATCATGGAACCATAATGCATTCTCATTTTCAAATAGATAGTAGAATAACTGAAGCAAAACTACATTCTCATTTTTTAAATGGATAGCAAGACTACTACAAACACTTACTGTTAAGATTATTGAGTTGCATATTTCTTTGAACATTACAGATATGTTCCCTGCAAGAAAGAAAGGAAAATGAAAATCGTGTCCTACAGTACCTTCACAAGTCCAAAGAAAAGAAAAACAGGAATCATAAATTGTAAACCATTGTCAGAATATAGAAAAACTAATACAAATACTTGCCATATGTGAGCACAGCCAGTTGTTTCTTGAAAGCTAAGGGCCAGCTCAGTTGAGTACTCTGGATCTCTCCATGAAATTATGGTATCTGAATATAAGTACCATTGAGTTAAGCATCATGACAAGAAAAACATGTAAGGCTTAGGAAGGGGAACAAAAGGAACATATGCGATTATAGAATGTTGAGAGTAAAAGAAAGTGAAATAAATGAAATTTCAAATTTAAACCTTCTTGTTTACGATAAATATCATCCGAGCTGATGCGATGAAGTAGCAGTGTTTCATTATCTGCCTCATCAACAACAAGCAACCCAACCTCTTCTGATCTCTGTGTTGCATTCCACCAAAAGAACAAGTTATAATAAGAAACTTTCTATAATAGGAAAATTTCATTATGCAAAATTAAATCATTGATTAGCTGAAAAGTCACCTCCAAATAATCTACAGTTACATGCCCTGTTCCTTGGTCATCCCATTTCCCATCATCATTTAGACGGTAGACCTTAACACGCTGAAACAAAATTGAAGTAATTAAGACTGTTTTTATATGGAAAACCAAAGTTACACACTTATTTTATGGATAAAAGAATAATTTTGTTAACCATGAGATTTCATGAGCACATTAGTGTAGTTGGAAGGAACACAATCATCCAGCAGCAGGTAATCACACACAATTCACCTTAAAATACTTAGACATTCTCAATAGATAAACTGCCACTAAAAATCTATTAAGCTCAAAAGTCCATCGAGAGGATTTAATGTTTAATGACTAACCTAAAGGGTAGTGAAAGATAATTCAGCAACACAGCCCACACTTCAAAATCAAATGAGCTATCTTACTGCTCTTGTTGCATGCATAAATTCATTAAAAATCCACTTCTTTGGTCAGTTAATTATAACTTAAACAAATAGAAAATCAAGTAGATTGTCCATTTTCCCTCGGACACGATAATTCCAAACTACATCTAACTCATTGTTGAAAGAATGCTAGGGGAAATTTTTTGTAGCATCTGCAATAGTATGTGCATATGAGATCTATTGACACTACTGGGGGTATCCTCATCAAAGATTTGGATATCTACTAAATAAAGGATATACTATATTGGGCAGCTGAACTTTTGTGGACATGTAATGTAACAATGACCATGTAGTACTCAACAAAAAGAATGTTTTGTACCTCCATAGATTATTCAGCCAAAAAAGCACAAAGTTAAGTGGCACAAATACACTCAATCGCTAACAGCAAGAAGTCATCACCATAAACGAGAAGAGAGAACTAATATTGCAAATAGTAGCCAAACTTTTTTAAGACAAAGGACCCCCATTGTTGTAGAATGTCAAGTGTATAAGAGAATGATGTTTTTATTATTGATATTAAATAGTAAGATTACAGAAACCGAGTTGAGGAAAAAAAAAAAAAAAAAAACCTGGAAATATTGTCCCACAACATCAGATGAGGATGGCAAAACCATCCATAGACAGCCTCCTAAGATCAACTTAGGAATACCATGGGAAGCAAAAATAAACGATTTAATACACATAAGAGATCATCACAGTAAATCTAAGCCTTTCAATCCTTCTTTAACTCGTAACAATTAATAACATATCAAGTAAAGACTATCTCCCAATTGTTTGACTGGTAGTTGGAGGAAACCAGTGGCACAAATATTTTCATACATTTGAGGTTCTAGGAGCTGATTTGGTAAAAATGAAAACTTAAGTATGAGAAAAATACAAGTGTAAGAATTTTGGTTTTATATTATCCAGCTCTAATAACAGAAATCAATTACTTTCTTGAATAAGCATAATTAATATGCCCACTTACAACATACCCAGATAATAAAAAAAACAGGTGTATAGATATACTTCTGCAATATCTGCATAGACTTTTATTATATCTTCATACATATATGATGAGATACATTAAAAATAAAAAATTAAATTAAATTAAATTAAAAAATAAAAGAAAACATTAACTTACTCTAGTGTTAATACATAACATATTATTTTCTTGTTTGTGCGGAGAAAACTTTTTCATACTTAAATATTGTAAATTTTAGATGTTCAATTTTCAATGATCAGTAACATTAAGTTGAATTAAAATTAAATCAAATTTGCAAAGAATTCCAAAGTCAATACGAATTCATATTTGTTGATATTAAACACACTTTATAACTAAACTCTAAATAGATTCAGTCTTAACTGCTTAACTCAATTATCAATAAGCCCAGTCCTAACACACTACCTACATCCACAAAAGAAGAGTAAAGAATGTCTAGATGTTCTAGAATAATATCATCTCTAATGGCAAAAGAACAAACGCTAGTTTAGCATCATGTAGAAGCAACTTTGCACCCCTAATGACTGAGAACTGCATTTGTTTCTTGCCAGATAAAGCTGGATCCAAACAAATATTCCATCCCATAGAAATCAAGATTCAATTCCTAAAGTAAAATTGGGCGTATTTTACAGAAATAGTAGAGAGTAAACTTGACTTGGGTAAATTCACTTTTTAGCTATGGATTAAACAGGAAAATCCAGGGTATGCTCAACAATAACCACTTGATCACAAAATTCAGAAATTCATATCAATGAAGCAATATGAAGCAATTTCCAAACCATAAGAAAATTCCCGACATTTAGTTCCCAACCGTTTAGCCAAACCCTAATAGTCTCTAACATAAATCTGACACAAACAAAATGCAACCCATATATATGACTCTAACCCTAACTCAGTTACTACTACATAAGCCGAAACTTCACTCGTATAGAATATAACATGAAAACTAAAATTGAAAAAAAAAATAGCATTTTTTAATAATAAGCAATACTCAGTAGAGAACTAACCTGGAGCGAATTGTTTTCGTTGGGTGACTTCTCCTGAGCACCCATGGAAGTTAAGCGGCGAAGGAATTCACTACACCAACCACAGAGAATGAATTGAAGGCAAGTATTTTTTTTTTTAATTTTTTTTGGTTTTAAGGGATTAGGGTTTTTGTAGAGAGAGAAAGTAATAACGAGAGAGAGTTTTGCTTGCGTTATGTACACAAAATCCTTTTTAAGATACAAACAGGACCCAATTAAACCCTAACTGCCATTGGCGTGATAATAGCAGAGCACTGAATCTCCGTCGCTCTTTCTCTCTCTTCGCTTCGCGCTCTCTCTCCCCCTCTCTCTCTCTCTCTCTATCTCTATCTCTCTCCTCTCTCTGTCCTAACTCCTAAGTTTGTGCCCCCGACCTCTGAGAAACAGAAGTACTACTATGCATTTCGTTGGTGGCGGAATGTCCTAAATGCCCTCCCTTTCCGTTGAAACTACAGTGTGCCACTGTGATTTGTCTGAATGACGGGAAATTTGACGCGCTTCTTCTAGGGGTCAGCCTGAGGTCAGAGAATCTATACAATTTGTATTCCACCCTCTAAACTATTTCACATTTATCATTTTGCCTCAAAAGTATTTAGCAAAAATAAAATTGAATTAAAAAATGACATACAACTTGACTAAATCAATCTAACAGCTCATCATATTTTCAAGAGTATTTAAAAGATTTTTTTTTGTTAAGCCATGGGCGTCCGTTTAACATGGGAATCGAACCTGGGTTATCCCAAAATTCTCCCACATAAAGAGAGCTCATTTGCAACTTGAGCTACCATGTTGGGTTCTCGTACCATATTCATACTAATCTCTATCCGCACCTGGCCGGTCCAATTAAGGAACACAGTACTGGCCTAATTGGTTTTTCTATAGTATTTAAAAGATATTTGTTTGTTAATACTGCAACAACAACAACAACACACACACACAAAATATGACATGAAATGTGAGCAAGCCACGCCAACAATTTGATCATATTATTTTAATACTGCAAAAAAAAAAAAAAAAAAAAAAAAAAAAAACGAACTAAAACATTATGAAATGTGACAAAGTCATTCCAACTCTATTAAATTTCTAAAAGTATTATCTTTTATACCTCAACAAAAGAAATAAAATAAAAGAGAGAGAAAAAAAACTACAGTACATAACTAAAAACTCACATAAAATGTGATTAAGTCACTCAAACATTATATTTCTACAAATATAAAGTAATATATTAATACGAGAAAGAAAATAAACTTATAAATTACAAGAAACGTGACTCAATAACTCGAATTTCATCAAATTCCAAGAGCATTACATTTTATATATACCTAAAAAAAATTAAAAATAAAAATAAAAATAAGAATAAAAACGCACACGAAGCGTGACGAAGCCACTCAAACAACATCATATTTCCAGTAATTTTCTAAAGTATAAAGTTTTGCATTAATATCACAAAAAAAAAAAGAAAAATAAACTTAAAAATTACATAAAACGTTACTCGACAACTCCAATTCTATCAAATTTTCAAAAGTATAACTCATGTGAAAATAATAAAACTAAAAAATCACATAAATTGTGACCAATGCACTCAAACAACATCATATTTCTTAAAGTATAAAGTACGGAGTATTACGTTTTTCTTTTTTGAATGCTACTTACACAATGTAGTATATGTTCATAACCTACTGAAGCACAAAGAGACAATACCGCCTCCATTGAAGCTCGGACCCACACCCTACTGAAGCACAATGAGTCAATGCCGCCTCCAGCTCAAACTCACACCCTCCTATATGGGAGTGCAACCTTGATGCTATTAGACCACAAGATCTTGGCATAAAGTATTAAGTTAATACCAAAAAAAAAAAGTATATATATATATATATATATATATATATATATATATATATATATATATATATATATATATATATATATATATATATATATGACATGAAACGTGAAATGTGAGCAAGCCACTCCAACAATGTCATCATATTTATGAAAGCATACAATATTGCATTTAAATACCACACAAAAAAAAAAAAAAAAAACAAAAAACAAAACAAACAAACAAACAAACTAAAAAGTATGAAAACAAAGTCATTTTTAGGGATGTCAATTGTATCCGTACTCGATGGGAAACTCGATTTCTCACTCCTATAGGAACGGGGATGGGGACAAAAAGTGGAGATCGGGGATCGGGGATATTGGGGATGGAGATGTGGGCAATTTTGAATTCTCTGCTGAGGACGGGAGCGGGGATGGGGAGTACTCTTTCCGTCCCGTCCCCGATATATATATGTATGCATGTATGTGTATGTATAGCCACACAACACACACACACACATGTATTACTTTGTATATAATATATATAATTTTAAAAGCATTTTTGTCATTGTATGTCATGCTTATGAAGTGCATATTTAGATAACATGTTTAATTGTAAAATATAGAATATTACTTTAAGTTGGAAATGAATATATATGCATTATTTATTTAAATGTTTTTTAATGTTTAATTTTTAATTTTTTTATAATATATAACTTATAAATGGGGTGAGGATCCCCCGTCCATCCCTAAATAATCCAGGTATGGAGATGGGGGGATTTTCCCTTCCCCTGCAGGGATGGAGACGGGGAATGGGAAGAAAGTTAAGGGCGGGGATGGGGACAAGAAACATGTTCAATTGTAAAATATTGAATATTATTTAAGTTGGAGATGAAAATATATATACGTTATTTATTTAAATGTTTTTTTTATAACTTATAAACGTGAAGGGAATTCCCCGTCCCCGAATAATCCCCGTGGAGATGGGGATGAGGGATTTTTCCATTCCCCGGGATGGAGACGGAAAATGGGAAGAAAGTCAAGGGCGCAGGGATGGAAGTATGTCCCGCCCCGTTTATATCTCTAGTCATTCCAAATACATCAAATTTCCAAAAGTATTATACTTTATACCTCTAAAAAGAACTAAAAACTATCATAAAATGTGATCAAGCGACTCAAACATCATATTTCTAAAAGTATAAAGTACTACATTAACACCCCATAAAGAAAAGGAATTTAGGTCAAATACGACACTCAATTGTCACCAAACTGCAATTCGGCCATCAAACTCAAAGAAAAATACTCCGTATATAATTGGGTTCCTGAACAACACAAACTCATGCAATTCAATCCAAAATGACTTGTTTACCTAAACATATGATGACGTGACAGTTACCCAATTTAAAAATAAAACCATACTGCACATGAAGCAAGAAGCAAGAACAAAAACCCTGTTTCTCTTGCCAGGAAAACGAGGAAATCTATTTATATGCAGAGATATGGACCGCAATTTGATGAACGAGTTTCAGAAAATTGGTATAGTAAGAGTCATGCAGATAAACACAAGACCATACAACTAAGGGTGAAGAAGAATGAGCAAATGCAGCATTACTGGTCCAGATACCAAAAGCAAACCAAAATGGAAGATAAAATCCAAGTATAAATCCTTAAATTTACCCGCCATGGCAAATGCTATCAAGATTCACAACAGAAACCATTTGCAAATGAGATTGAGAAGCAACGCAGATTCACTGTAAGAACTTCAAAAGACTTCAAGGGAGAAAGAACTCCTACTGAGATGGCTCCCCACCAACCCCAAAGCACAGCCAAAAAATCAAGTAAATTTTGGTCACCCCATGATCTCTTAGAAACTATGACAACAGCAGACAAAACAATATAAACAGTATATAATGTAGTAACATAACCTTATATTGAATTTCCTGGTGGAGCAGTACAGATGTGGATGTTAGAACTACACAATTAAAGCCAAGGTACCAATACATCATACTCCTTACATTAAGGATAGGACCTATACAACCAGACAAATGAAGAGAACACATGGCAAGAAGATCATCTCAATAATTACGCATTGCAACCACCCAAAACAGAAGCAAATGATTTGGTCAATAAAGCAACAAAATTTTCAAATAATCTATCATCAAACAACAAAGCATAAAGTTCAATCACTAAAACACACAATCATCTGCCATTAACACCAAGAGGAAAAACATGAGGCATATCAAACCATCAAAAGCACAGGGTCTATGAAGACACTAAAAGTGAACAACTGGAAAGGGAACAATCCTCAATAAAGGCAAAAACTTAATAGGTTATGTCAAAACATAATAATAGTAACCAAGTTTTGGCACTAGCTCAAAAACAACAAGTAGAATCCCAACATTCCAAAATCAAGGTGTATTTAACCTAAACACAAACAAGATCTACTCCTCTCCGCTTCCAGCTTCACCGCTCTTGTTGTTGTGCTTCCTAGCATACCTTTGGTTCCTCAAGAACTTAGGGTCCATCTGCATCAAATCAACAAGCATATTTCAACCCAAATTGGAAACAGAAACAGCTCTCTAAGCTTCCAAATACATATAAGACAAACGTATCCAAGAATAAGAGACTAACGAACCCCTTTGGTGGATGTGTGACGGTGCTTTCTGGGCTTCTTGATGCCATTCTTGTGCGCCTTGTAGGACTGGTTGTGAGCTGTGTGATTCTTTGACTTCGCCATTCCTGCTTCTCTTCCTCACGGAGGAACTGCACAAGCGATTACAGAAATCAATACTTGTAACCCTAGATTCCGTACACATATACACATAAGAGAGCCAAAGCACGAAGAAGAAGAAGATACCTGTGTTCGGGATTTCAGCAGCTGCAACTAGCGAGACAGGGAGAAACCCTGCCTTTGAGCTCTTATGATTGGAAACTTGGAAACCTAGATTTCAGTTGGGCTTTATTTGGGCCTTTGGGGTTATATCATATATATCTATGAGAGGGCCCATTTTAGTTTAATACAATCGCTATACAGTGCCAATCGTTATACCGTGCACCAAGGCCCACATAACAATGTGCATCCCGCGTCTCCCAAAATGACGTCGTTTCGTTAAGTTGTATAGAGAATTAACGCAACGAAAATGTATGTGTATTCAGGTATAAAATTTTGTGTTTTCAGGTATAAAATATTATATACATTCAAAACAGGGGATTTTTATCCTTTTAAAAAAGATTATGGCCCTGTTTGGTAAAAAATTGGTCTATAGGCTAATTTTGGCTTATTTGACCACTATTAATTGTTTGATTTAGTTAAAATATCAATATAAATGTTTGGTTAATTAGCTTTTTGCAACTCCAAAAGGCTAAAATTCAAAATGCTACTCCAGGCAACTTTTTCAATTAGCTTTTTGAGAAAAGAAATTACACCAAACAGCTATCAGCTTACAGCTAATTTACCAAACACTTTTCTACAATCAGCTAATGTTATCAACTATTTATACACTCTAATTAACAAAATCAGCTAACAGCTATCAGCTAACAGCCATTTTACCAAACAGGGCCTATGTGTTTTTAGGTATAAAATTCTGTGTTTTCTATTATATAATTCTGTACATTCGAAACATTGAATTTTCAGTTATAAAATTTTGTGTTTTCAGGTATAGAATGCTGTGTTTTCAGATATAAAATTATGTGTTTTATATTATATAATTCTGTACATTCGAAACATGGAGATTTTCATTTATAAAAATTCTGTGTTTTCATGTATACAATTTTGTGTTTTCTATTATACAATTCTGTACATTCGAAACATGATTTTTTTTTTTTAGGAGTTAACAACAGACACGCGAAAAATGTACAAAACGACGTCGTTTTGGGCCAGGGCGCGCAATGCATTGTGTGTCTTGGTGCACGGTGTAATTTGCCATACTGTGCAATCGTTATGCTATAGAACTGTGTCTACCTTGCTCTATGTTCATAATTATAACGCTATATATTCATAATTTTTTTAACTTTATTGAACTCTATATTCACAATTACATAACTCTATGTTCATAATTATTGAACTATATGTTCATAATTATAAATTTATATATTCATAATTTTTGAACTTCATATTTACAATTATTGAATCTTTATATTCATAATTACAGAACTATATGTTCATAATTATGTTCACAACTCTATGTTCATAATTATAGTACTATATGTCCATAATTTGTGAACTATATATTCATAATTATGAACAGTTTTGGAACCATGTTCAAATGAGTATGTTCGTGAACACAACTGAATAAACACTAAACGAGCATGTTTGTAACCAACTTAACACCAAAGTTAACGAAAAATCATTTTGACTTAAAATTTAAAAGTCGAAGGTTAAAAAATTAAAAGTCAATGGATCAATTTGAAAAAATATTATAGTCAGATGACTATTTTGAGAATTAACTCTTTTTAAAATACTGAAGGTTAATTTGTTGTGTAAAGTTAATGAATCTTTCATATGTTAAAAAAAAAAAAAACTAAAAAATAAACATTTAATGTATTAAAAATAAACATTCAACACATTAAAAATGAATCATATATTATCAGTATCATTAGTATATATATTTTATAAGGACAATAGTTAATGTGACACTGACATTATATTTGTCAGGTCACTATACTTACATGCCAACTCATTTATTATTTTATAAATATTTAAAATTAATTATTTTTACCACCAATATATTACATTAATATGTCCAAAATAAATACATAAATATATATTATTGTCCTTAATTGTTTCACTTTTAAAAGTGCATGGATTAAATTGAACAAAATTAAGATAAAACTATTCAATTGAACAAAACACTATAATATAAGGACCTCATAGGTAATGGACATTCTAAATATGATTGTCTTATCAACCAAACGGGTCATATGGGTGACATGCAATCGTTATATCGTGCACCAAGGTGCACATAGCACTGTGCGCCCCGCGCTCCAAAAACGGCGTTGTTAAAAAAAAATCATATGTTTCGAATGTACATAAACTCATAACATAATACACATAATCTAACATAATACATAATACACATAAACTTTTAACCGAATACACATAATGGGGTCTGGTTAACACAATACACATAAACTCTTAATTGAATACACATAAACTCATAATACAATACACATAAACTTTTAACTGAATACGCATAATGGAATTTGGTTAACATACTACACATAAACTCTTAACTGAATACACATAATCTCATAATACAATACACATAAATTTTTAACTGAATACACATAATGAGATTTGATCTGTTCGGACGGCCGAAGTGACGTCAGTATGAAACGCGCGCGTTTTGTGCATGGGCGCACATTGCTATGTGCACCGTGGTGCACGATATAAATTGCCGGTGACATGTGACCGAGGCCCATATATGAGGTAATTGTTAGGTCTTTTTTAGTCTAAGGCCTTGTCTGGTATTGCAATTATGGCTTATTTGACCACTATTAATTGATCTTATACTTGGTATAATGGTAATGGGTTTGGTGAAATTTTTTTGCATGTTTGGTAGCATGGTAAAATTGGAATAATTACCAATATTGATGTTTGGTTGTGTATGACCCTCTAATGGGAATAAATGTTTTAAAAATAAAAAAAATAAAAAAAAATAATTGATCCTAATATAATGATATCCAAATGTGTGTAAGATAAATAGGGAATGGTTGGGTTCTAAAACCGAATCAAAATTTGAACCAAACCAAATTTAAGTCGAAACCGAACTAAAATTTGAAATCGAATGATTTTAATTGTGCAGAAGAAAAAAAAATCAAAACCCAAAAAAAAAAAAATTTAAAAATTAAAAACAAACCAAAATGCCCGCCCGCCCCTAGTAGGAATGTTTATATTTCTATGATGATTTGGTATTTACTTAAAGACCTAAGAACAAATTATTATTATTTTTGGCTAGACATTAAAGTCAATTCCAATAATGATTCAGTGACTATTAAAATTTATCAAATTCTATCCATTACTTTTATTTATTATTAACACTTATTAATTTTTATCATCAACTTGCAATTTTACTATAATGGTCTATTAATTTTGTCACAAATTACAAATGTGACTATTCAATTAAATATCAATTTAGTAAACATTAAATTTAATAATTATAATACAAAAATTTTGTTATTCACATTTACAGTAATGATGAAACCCAATTTGTCATCTCAACAATAAGTTTTTTTTTTTTTTTTTACATTTTATTATCCTTAAATTTAAAATTTACTAAATAAATGTTTAATTAGATTACAAATTTTAATACAAAATTAATAATTAATGAATCATTTATGGTACAAAATCTCCTCCATCAATTGGTTTGTAGAATACGACAGTCGACAGTACTGTTGCGTTATCACATCGCAGTCTCGTTTGAATTAATTTTATAATAGTATACGAAAAATAAGTGTTTACAATGCTACATTAAAAATATATTTTTACTATTTAAAAAATAATTTTATTAAACCATCTTTTTCATAGGTCATCCGATATATTTTTATTACAAGACTAATTGAAATTAAAATGCTCAAAAAAAAGTTGATTGTTTTACGATACAGGATTACGATTCAATCTGACTAATCTCCGATCTCTTCGAAAGACATAAAAACTGATCCAAAAAAAATTATTATGTGTGAAAATTAATTATAGTTATTCTTAAAATCGTTCTCACTAACCAAAAAAGTCGACTTTACAATTACATTAATAATTGGATAGGGGCAGCCTAAACTGTGGGTTGTTGGGTCATATTTTTATGTGCTATGTCGCAATGTTTTAAATATTTAAAAAGAAAAAAGAAATACAGATTGACAAAATGTCATCTCTCGCTCTTGCCCAGATTACAGGCGCTTAACTAACCAGTCATATGAGCGGTCTATATATATAGCTGAGCTCCCCAGAATTCTCACACCTCAGCTGCTGAAATTCGCTCTAATCTTCCCCTTTCAGAGAGAGAAAGTCGTAAGCGAGAGCGAGAGAGAGAGAGAGAGAGAGAGAGAGAGAGAGAGAAGATGGTGATGGAGAGAGACATCGACGATCTTCCAAAGAACGCGGCCAACTACACGGCGCTGACGCCACTATGGTTCCTGGAGAGGGCGGCGACGGTGCATCCTAGCCGCAAATCGCTGGTCCACGGCTCGGTGGAGTACACGTGGCACCAGACTTACCAGCGCTGCCGCCGTTTAGCCTCCGCTCTCACCAAACGCTCCGTCACCTTTGGAAGCACGGTATTCTAACAGAGCTCTATCATTTTCTTTTTCGCGTTATTTTTTGTACAATAATTATAATTATTTTTATTTTTATTTTTTTAAATTAATTTCTTTGGAAGGATGGGAAAATCTGATCTTTAAGGCTTTGATTTTATACAAAGTCAATTAAGCTGAGCTTTTTTTTTTTTTTTTTTGATTTTTTTTTTTTATTTCTAATTTTTGTATATTTTAGTTCTTAATTCATAGTTTTACATAAGCTCATCTAATTTAATTTCAATCTTCCTGTTGATTTATCTATGTGGTATGATATGAGGGTATGTATTTGTTTATCAGTTTGTGGATTCACTTGACTTGTAGAAAGGTGGAACTCTTCGAGTCTTTTAATGTAATAGCTTATTTGATTTTATCATTAGTAATTGTAAATGTTTTAGCCATGAAAAGGTTGAGATTCTGCAAAAATGGTGTGTACCATAAGTTCCTTCACCATGAGACAAGAATGTAAATATTCCAATGGAAACAGGGGATTGTAGGGGGCAATGGAAAAAGGAGAATATAATGTCTGTTTGATTGTGGGAAATATTTTAGTTGTCTCATATTTTGGTGCTTTAAACATGGGATTTGTTTTCAATACTTGAATCCATAGGATCTTCAGGTTAATTGTCTTTTGATGTTTTATGTGCATAAATTTAGATCTACTTTGCTAGATAATTTCAGT